TATAAGGGACATTTTATATGGGTTTATATAAAGCATCGCTTCCTCTCAAAAAGGTTCAGAACAAGTTATACATGTTTACTACATGTGATTGACAAATATGTAAATTCAACAGAATTTGCTACAAATACATTAAGAATCCATGTAAATGGGTATGCAGTCATTGAAATACGACCAGTCCCATTACAATCCAATTTACGTCCCATCGTTTGAAATATATATGCTATTAATAATTCCAAAAATAGGATAATATCTGTCTTCAAAAGTCCATGCACACTGTAAATATTCCAATCCGTCTTTCTGATTTATTAAGCTGTACATGTACACGAATTTTTGAATGTCATTGGGATATATTTCCGAATGTGAAACAGCTTTCATTTTTTTGATATATAGAAATATGTTACAGTCAAAAATATTTAATCTATCTGTTTGTCACGGATGATAAATCATTATTCTATCAATGCAAAAAGGAAATGTTCGAGTAAAAATGGATAAACCTTGAGAACGATTGCTATAATTATCGACGTGTTTCGGAGAGTGCTAAAATACTTCATTAAGAAAGCTTTCAGTTCCATTTAAAATGTATTAGTTTATTACCTGACAAATAAGAGTCTTGTTTCAGAATGTGTCAGAAAAAAATGTTTTATGGGATAAAGATGAGTTTATTGCTAACACTCCCTCCTATTTCATTTCCATGCTCATTTATTAAGTTAGAAAAGGAAAAATCACCTGTATTGACAAAATATCGTATAGAAAATGAAATGAAATGATGTGTACATTCTACTTTTCTACACCGACCGGGATAGAAGACTGGCGTACTTCATAATTTGTATTATATGAGGGATATTTCTCCCGGGCAGCGGTGCTTCGACATACTGATATCGAATTCCAACTGTTTTTTTACGTGCACACCCGATCGACAATACACTGTCCTTACCTCTGTTTATAGAACCAGCACCTTACTGAGTCACTGCTGCTACAAATCACACAAAAATCGTATGGTAACTATTGACAGTAAAAGACACATCATATGTAACAAGAATGGACATTAAAGGGGGTTCTCATATACTTGAGACAATTTCGCATAACATTTCTATCGTGTACTTTAGCTGTCGTGTTGTTGTGCGTGTTGTCATCTTTTCTTATTGTATTTGCTCTCGAGTCTTGGACAAAAAGAAAATGCAAACAGCTGCCTTAGATATAAAAGGATTTAAGTATTTATTGGTTATTTTTAAAATTATTTTGGTAGTCCTCTCCGACAGTTGTCCGTCAGTCGCTCTTGTAGGCAGTTGTCCGCCGGCAATTGTCCAGACGGTACTTGTCCTGCGCCACAAGTTTATGGCTATTTTTTTATAGTTTGTTTCTCTAAACTGTCTAGTAGTAGCATCTTGATCCTTAACGCTTGCGTCCACAATAGTGGTAGCGCAGACAAGTTAAAATATATATTCTCTGTTCTACTTGAAGTCTAAAAGTTCTTATTGAAATGAAATGAAATGGGGTTGACCGTTCTACTCCGAACTGGACTAATGAAGACGGTCATATGCCATACAGTGTGCTATGAGGGAAATTTTGTCCGGACAGCCGCACTACTCTTATAACGAATTCCAACTGTCAAGGGATCTTTTATGCGCACGCCGGTGTGTACACAGGGCCTCGGTTTTCGCCCCCCCGCCCCCGAACGACTAGACAGCTGTCCTTGTCAGGCCCTCCGTCCTGAATCACTGACAAGGGAGAATCACGCCGGAAAATCTGGGTGTACTTTCACAGTCAATGCAGGGATCGAAAACCCGACCTCCAGGCAAGCGAGGCAGCGTCTTATCCACTTAGCCACCGTGACCTCCAATTTCTGATAGATCCTACCTTAGGGTAAATGTAAAAATCATAAAAAAACGAAAAAGAAATGAATGTCTCTTCCTATATTTTAATTTGTCTGGGCAAAAAAATGCTGATAGCAATACATTCCTCTACATCATAGATCTATAATTTATAGGTTAGTAGACATACACAATAAGGCCACTACCGGCATTGGAAATAATTTTTGCTTATCGGTACGAAAAATCGCTAATTTGAACGTAAGTCCCTTGCAGCAAATTCCCTATATATAACTTTCATAAATCAGTCTGTTTTGTAACAAACTTATTCCTTCTGCCTAGCATTATAAGATATTCAAATAATGTCATACTGTTGGGCAATGAAGCGTTAAAAAATATGATTGTTTTTTTTCTATTATAGAAATACACGTTAAATATATTATCACTTTGGGGCACAACTCCAGACTTATAGAGAGCGCTCGCTATTGTCACGCCAAAGGTACATTTATGGAAAGATAATGTTGCCAATATTATTTCAATGTTCACTGTCTATTGTGCAAAATGTAGAACGGGGAAGTGTAATGTGCAAAATAACTATTATGCTGTATTTTGTATTATTGAAAAGTGTATTATATATTTTAACACTGTGATATTGGTATTGTGGAGAAATGGAAGTTGCAAATTGTAAAACTAAAATACGTATTTTGAACTGCTGACATATGCATTTTGCACCGTGAACATTGAAATAATATTGGCATCGTTATCCTTCCATATACATTGGTTAGAAATACACACACAACACATCGACAAGAGAGAGAAGATTCTACAGCCCCATTCACATGATCGCATTTAGACATTTGCACTCAGGTGTATGCTTGACCGCGTGGATGCATTTTAACAGATGCAACTTTACCCTTATCAGCACCATGTCAGACCCAGATGCAAATGTACTTTTATATATTATGTGTTCCATCAATGGCGCCTCAACAATCCCCATGTATCTTTATACCCTTCCCGAATAGTTCACAATAGCTTCTCAAACCTTATGCACACAGGCAATTACCCACAGACACCCAATACAACACAATTGTCACCCGCTTCTGTACTTCAAGAGGTTCTGACAAAGTCAGATCTTTTGGAAACAAGACAAAAAATGCTGAAGATCAAGGCATAAGTCTCCAAAGGCCCTCCTTCTTATTCGAAAGCTCTCACTCCACTGATCACAACTAAATGTTCGCTTGGTAGTGCTAAGAGTTCCTTACTGCTCCCAAAGCCCAAGGCAACATTATTTGGACATGTGCATCTTCTAAACCTCCAAAAGATTCTCATCTGGGTTGAAATCAGCTATCAAATGTAAACCTCCTGAAGTTTTGCTAAAACTTTAACATGCCAAGTGAATAGTTTGCATAAGTGCAAATATACACCTAAGTTCAAGATGGTCCTGGCAAAATATCTGCTTGTCAGCCGTATGCACAACCTTGTGGATACATTTTCGGGCGCACCATTTATCCTCCCGCTGCAAAGAACACCGCGTGCAAGCCAATCATTGAAGTAAACGTAAACCACAATTTTTAGTCCTGCCCGAAAGAATGGACGCTTTTCCTTGTCTAACCAAGAACTAATGACAAGGGTAAAACGGAATGACAAATCCAGAGAACCTTTTTAGGACCACACCCTTAAGGAAGCCTTGACCTCTTGTTAGTGAACCAGCGGTATACTCGCACTTCAACTGGAAGATGGGAATCCATACTAAGTCTTGTCGATATGTGCCGAGCATTGTGGTGGCTTATTTGTCACCTTTCTAGCTGATCTTTGTCGATATGATAAACAATATGAACAAATTGAAAATCGATTTTAAAATAGAAATAACTACAAAATCTTCGTTTTCTACCCCACGTCTCATTATTATTTACAATAAAGATTGAAAAAGACGACCTTCTAAAAAAGTTCATAGCATGTATGAATGCTGGGAATTTGCTATTCCAGTGAGTAACTATCAATTAAATTGTACAGTTTTAAATGAAATGAAATGGGGTTTAACGTCCTACTGTTCTGCTCCTAACCTGGGCTAATGAAGACGGGCATACGCCATACAGTGTGCTATAAGAGAAATTTTGCCGAGCAGCGGCGCTACGGTCTACTCTTATATCGAATTCCAACTGCCAAGGGATCTTTTACGTGCTCGCCAATGTGTACACGAAACTTTGGTTTTTCTTACCATCCGAACGACTAGACAGCTGTCCTTTTCAGGCCCTCCGTCCTGCATCACTGACAAGGGGAAAATACAGTTTTAAAGGGTCTTCGTTATTATGCGTTCGTCCTGCATGTATCCTCTGCAAATGTAGAAATTAATACCCCCTTACTATTGCATTAATTATCTTAAAGGAGTATCGACGAATATAGGGAGAGAGGGAGGGAGGAAGGGAAAAATGGGTTTAACTTCCACTCGACAAAAACACAGTTAAAAAATAAATAAATAAATAAAAAAAATCAAGCTTCATTTTATTGATGCATATATTTTGTATATAAAATACCCCAATCAACGTGTCTCTGAAAACCCGTAATTTACCTACGGTGCGTTTAACAATTATGAGCAACTAGTAATGCGGTGGCTCGCTAACTTAGATGTCCCGGTTCCATTTCTGGTGTTGACCGAGAATGGCTTCGGTGTAGTTTCCGCTTGTCAGTAGTGCATGGCGGGTGGGTGATAACATGAGGTCCCATTTCATTTCATTTCAAGGTCTAAAAAGGAGACCATCTGGAATATAATTCAGAGTCTAAAATTAATTCCACAAAAAAAGCATATTCTTAGAATCAAGTCTTATAAAAATACCAAGAAAATTTGTTCGAAATCGTAGGACGTTAAACCCCATTTCATTTCATTTCATTTTGTTCGAAATCAAGTGCAAATAATGCGTAAATTCATTAATACAAATATTTATTTTACTTTTCTTTCATTTTTCTCATTTTGTAGTACGTATGTTTAAGAACTTCAGAAAACATTTATATATTATACATTGTATTGCGAAGTTTGATTATTTTGGAATTGATGAAATATAGTGTATATAAGACGCTCTGTGACTGATCGTGAATCTGTCATCATTCTACTACGCCTCTCATTCATATGTGGGCAGATAATAATGTGATCACAAGAATTCAAGTCGATAATTAATTCGCTGGCTCCATCTATAAGAGTTTTAGAACATTTCTTATCTACAGCATAAAACGCGCGAACCGATTTGCACCTATCTCTTTACTTTCTTATTCAGGCAGGACAGCGGACAGGAGTTACAGAGCAACAGTGCAAGACAATAAAATACAAGGACTTTTTTTTAAGTTAACAGAACTAAGCTCCATCCACAAACATCATGATGCCGAATATCTCAACCAGTTTTTCATTGTGGCTTATTTGTTGTGTAAATTTTATAAACAGCGCTTCTATTTTTGACACAAACAGACAGACCCAGGTAAGTGTTTATTTTGAAAATGTTTTTAATTTTTGATTGATGACAGCTGCTGTCAGAAAGCAATGATATTTTGAAGGCTTATTTAGTCTCCAAGTAACATAGTCTTGGCTGTTATTTATTTTTGACACAGACAAAGACCATCGATAGGTCACACCATTTTGATTTTCTGTTCATCGAAGTCTTCATAAAAATATATAGCCGATTAAATAACGTTAAAGGTGTTTTGTTTAAAATTTCAAAACTTACAAAAATTGAACTAGGTGCTTTTGAACAGGATAATCAGGTACTTTTGTCTTATAAACAAATCCCTTTTCCCGAAGACATCTTTTTTACAAGTTTTTCCGAAGAATAGAAAATCAAATTGGTTTGACCTCATTGTTATGTTTCGAATAAGTTTGTCATTTTCGATTAATATTTGTCACAGTAGTTAATAAACGGTAATGTTTTGAGGGGTTATTTTGTCTTAAAACAACCTTGTCTTAGTTGTTACTTATGTGTGCCTGTCTTCGTTAGCCAGGCCCATCAAACCATTTAACTTGACCGGAAGAAACTTTCCAGGTTGGTACAAGAAATGCTGTATTGACTTTCGAAAAAGATGTATTTCTCGCAGCAGTAATGAAGTGCGCTGTGTATTTTGGTTGCCGCTACGAGAAGTGCTGCGTTGACTTTCGAAAAGGGATGGTTGTTTTTTGCAAAAAGAGGGAATAAAATGAAATGTCGGTATTTCCTTGAATATATACGATCACAAAAACCCGCTTAACTAATCTGGTGTTAGTAGTGCAAATAAATAGCTGGGTGCAAGGTTTCTTAGACACAGGTATGTGACGTGCAAGACCTTAAAGTCAATGTGAGCGGAAATTTGGAGTGGCTGCTGTATTTTATATTACATGTAGCTTGAAGAGGTGGCAAACTGTAACAATATATTCTATACAGAACTAATGACTGAATTAGAGATTTGACGGCATCAATGTCCAATGTCACTGATGTGCCGCAAATGAAAGCATCAGGAATAAGACGCTTATGGCAAAATATGAATCTTAATACCAAGATTCCTCACAACACTTAGCTTACTAAATCTCCAATTTTGACATTTGTTTGGGATACATTCTAACGACGTCTAGTTGTTTCAAATACGAGGGCTGACCGAAAAGTTCTAAGCCTTTCTCTGAAAGACCTGTACAAAGTTGATGATTTCCATTTATTTTTCTACATAGTTCCCTTCGAGGTGTATACACTTTGACAACGATGTTGCCATGCCTGGGTGCCGGCCAGGAAAAAAATTTCTTCAGCCACCCTAAAACAGTCATTCACAACTATTAGTAAAATGGCGACCGGCTAGTTTCGTTTTGATTTTTGGAAGCCGGTCTAACCCATGGTTACAAATCTGGCAAAATAATTTTCAGAATCGGCTACAAAACGGCGCAGATTAACACAGGACGTCAGGAATCTTACACGTTTCTGATTCCCGGTCAAGAGCTTTGGCACCCATCTTGCAGAAACGTTTGTCATTCCTAATTCGTTGGCGGTAATGTGCTTCAACCCTCTCAAGGGCGATTCCCCCAACACTGGCAATATATGGAGTGGTCGATCAGCCATCACCACGTCATGCACCGAGGTAATGGTTTCTTGAATGGTTGCTGTTGGTGGCCTTCCAGAACGCGGGCTACCGTCACGCCGGTCTCTGCCACGCTTAAATTCCACAGCCCACTTCTTCGCGTTGGAAAAGGAAGGGACATCACCCCCTTGCAGGTACTTGATGACTGACCTATAGCCAGTTTTGTGCATTTCTGGTGATTTCAATGGGTAGTTTCACAAGATGATCTGGTACGAAGACAATAATAATAGTGCAGTATTTGTAGATGATAGACTTGGATTTGTGCCCTATATAAGTTTAATAAATGATTATTGTATTATTATAATTAAGGTTTCACAGTACCTAAATACTGGACCTTTTTGCTCGGTTTACGTATATCGCAACATGCACTGGCGCCCTTCGATACACCACAAAGCTATTGGTGGGTGTATTTTATACCTTTCTTATAGTCTTTATCAAACACATTCAAAGAATTATACTCACGCGTGAATAAATGTCAGGCCCAGTATTCGAATCCCAATTGGAATCGAATCCGATGAAAACAGGCTTGTTTAATCGAATACTCGAGTCTGCTATTTTACTGATACGAACATTTGTTACCCTATCTAATAGGTTGATGATGAACAGTCTTATTTTTACATTTATATTAAGTATTAATGTACATTCGGATAGCTTTTAATCAATCACGTCCTTAGTTCCCAGATTTGTGTGCATTGTGCTTGAAAGATTTATGTAACGAAGACCAATATAGCTATTATTTAATTTTGTGATTCCCATATACAATGGTCTTTTATTTCACCCTTCCGTGATCAAGTAATGATCCAAGATCAATTGTAATGTAACACGCAGCAGTATTTTTTCCCAGAATTGACGACTCTCTCATCTGTAAAGAGGTTTCAATTTTAAATTCTGCATTTGTTTTAGTTATATTGCCTTCTATACTCACTTTTCACTGCGTTACAAAAGCAACTGTAAAATGCAACCGAGTGTCTACAATTGGCCCTGCTTAAAAACGGACCCAAGAAAGTTCGCCGACATTTTCATTCCCATTTTGACGATTTTAGTCGAAAACACAAATATGGCCGATGGTTCTAACCAAGTTATTACTATACGTGTAATATAAATAAATGGTGATTTCTGGTGGAAGCGTTTCCGTAAATTTCGTACAAAATTTGCCTTAAGTATGCCATACATCTCTATTCATACACGATTTGAAAGTGCATGATGTTGATGATGAGATAATGTTGATGAAAACCACCAAGGCAAAACTCTTCATGAATGGTTGTGTTACGTAGATTACTGTTAACAACTCCCAGTGGTTTTAGATGAAGAAAGAAGTAATATTAAGTTCGGGGAGGGGGGGGGGCGAGCGCAATACACATAAAGAATTACGCTAGGCAAACCTACGGGCATGATCCAATATACAGAGACACCTTTTGTGCGGCGGAAAACATAATGGAGCTAAATCTTTAGCTAGAAGGACTGTTAAAAATTTCTAGTTTAACCTGATATGTACATTTGTTATTGTATAGTGGCTTTAGATAAAGAAGTAATATTAAGTGGGGGAGGGGCACAATACATAGAAATAAAAACTACACTCCTACAGACATGATTCAATATACAGAGACACCTTTTGTGCGGCGGAAAAAATGATGGGGCTAAATTTGTAGCTAGATGGATTTATACCCACCCTTGATAAATTTTTGTGTTTGAAAACGGGGTTCTTGGCGTAATCATATTTTCAGCGTGTGTATACACATAGACCACGTGTACTGGTTTAAATCTACGATAGAATATTATTCGGTATTTATTTGGTTCAACGTTATTTTGCAGGAATATATTATATATCTAAGGGTTTCATCCATTTGCAAATTGTTTTTGACACGTTCAGTAATTTCTCAGCATGAAACTACTTTTAATTTTATTATCTTTTTTTTTCTCTTTAGTCATCAATAGATGATACAATGGAATCGCTACAGCCGAGCGTGCCTTCACGAACGTCAAAATCATCACAGATTCTGGAAGAAGACGCATTCTCACCGATAGAAACATGGCTTTCATCTGATGATAAGACTAAGTCTAAAATATTAACAGCGTTTTTACAAGAGTTACCAGTCATGGCAGAAGAATATGACGGGCCAGAAATAATTTCTAAACGACACGACTTCGGCTTTATGGGAAATCGTGGTAAAAGAATGCAAGAAAATATTGTACACAGTGGCGAAGACTTCATAAATGCCATACGTCCGGGATTAGACAGAGCTATTTCACCCCTTGCTAGACTTTTGGAATCCCGCCGTCATTCACAAGGTTGGTGGTTTTATTTTGAAATCGAGACCGTCCATTCCATTGCCATTACATTATCCATTGGCCACAGATGTCTGTTCTCGTTAAATATTTTTCTTCTTTGGCTTATATGCATGCGTAATGTGTACTACTGTGGTCTTTGCGACCATATTGTATCTTTGGTAAAAACGCTAGTTACGTTCTTTCCATGGTCAACATATCCACCAAATACTATCGATTTTGTTCATGAAATGGGTTTGGTGGACCAAATAAGGTAATGTTTTCCTCCCGGTCTTTGGAGTATAGGGGGTGTATATTCTATATTTGGGAATGAAATTAACACCACGGTCAGTCTATGATGTAAAGAAATTAGGTGTTATAAAAGAGGGTGTTGAGCGAAATTCATTACAGCCATCCAAAGCTGTATACACTTTATTGAGAACGAGGAACTGTAGTTGTATTTTCGATCACGGAAAAAAAAACACAACAAAGAAGTCCAGTAGTACTACAAATGTACATGTATGGTTTATTCAGCTTGAATTGTTTTATCACACCCAAAACTTGTTTCGGAGATAAGGTTTTGTTTTTAAAATAAGCTATAATCTGGAGGGGTTGCTTCGAAATTCAGTACACTACTAATTTAATCGAATAGACCTCATATGATTTCGGCCCTGATCAACCGTTTCAGATTCACCTTTTTTGACAATCAAAGGCAACAAGATACTCAAGATGTTATATGTATTTCCAAGCTGTACCTTTTTGTTTGGATAGAAGTAGATTTGATTTCCATTAGGATAGAAAAAAAAACTGGAGTATTTGTTTTGTTCGATCTAACGTTACATTGGTATATCTTACAATACGGGTAGAGTAAATTTAATCGAATTCATCAAGTCATTTCGATTAAAAGTAAGAGTTGGCCTACATTATTTTTAAAAGTATATATAAGTGTACTCATGAGAGTGAAGTTAAATCGAATTGTCAAGTTCTATATCAATTGCGAGTATTAAAAAGATATATATATATATTTATATATTCGATTAAATGAAAGATTTCTCTAGGGCCGCTAGGCATGCATTAATTTTGATCGTATAGACACCTAATGACTCGAAAACGGTCGCAAATGCATAACAATGCTATATTGTTATGTTCGTTTCAATTTTAAGATATTTATTGTTTGGTATGTAAGTGTAAATCAATTGCGTGCGAGGAACGCTTCCTAGTTTATTCGGTGTAAAATGGAAAGCTTCATGGTAATCGGCATCGTTATTTTTTCATCCTACTGGGCGTAAGTAATATTGTGACATCGCGAAGGTTTATAGCAACCCGGTTGGTAATAGCTACGCGTTTGGTAATAGTTACCAAATTCGCTATTACAATTCTGGTAAAGACACTGTTACCAAACGCGTCGCTATTACCAAACGGGTTGCGACAACGGTTCATTATGGGATAGAGAGATGGAGATTTGATATAAGTGGCCATTTTGTTAGGGGTTCAGATCACGACATCCAATACATCAAGCATTGAATATTTACATCCACAAGCCAAACTTTGGTAAAACTCCGAAAATCTAAAGTTGCTGCATTGAATTTGGAAACGGACAACCCGCAGTTCCGACAAAGATGAAGTTTGTGATTTGATTGATAAGTCTTGATTGTTACAATCGGAATATTTGGTCGTAAAGTTGAGCGAATATCGGATTATTAGGTTGCCGGGCTTTTTTTTTGCAGGATATCTTGTCTTGCCGAAACCCTCCGATAAATCAGATGTGTTCATATTTAACATTACGAGCAGCTTTAGCATTAAGGGATTTCCTTCGTCTCCTTTCCCCGATAGCAACGCACATTGCTAAATATCAATTTAGTGCCTGTAACTAATAGACAATATAATACCAAGTGGGGTGTTTTTTAGTCTCTTTTCCCCGAAAGCAACACACATTGCTAAATATCAATTTAGTGCATGTAACTAATGGACGATATAATTCCAAGTAGGGTGTTTTATGTAATCATGGATAGAACAATATTTATTTTGTTGCTTAATGTAATATTTTATTTTCAAAAATATACACCTAAAGTACACCTAAACTAACAATTCAGCATTTGATTTGCAAATTGGTGAACAATAAAAGGACGTACACGAGTTTCTTAAAATTATTAACTCAAAGAAGATACCATATTAAACCCTAATAATTTTAAGAAGCTGGTGTACGATTGAAGAAGGTTCATTACGGGATGGCCATTTTTTAGGCGACTGGGATCCAAAGATCCAATAGATCAATCGTTGAATAAAGCACACAAATTTAATATACATGCAGTATATGGAAACAAGGTTCCCGAAGTTGTCCATTAAATTTTATATTTATGTGGTCAGTTAGAATTGTTGTTTTTTTTATCATAGTATGTGAACTATTTTGTCTGCATTTTGTTTTCAAATTGGTTCTGATTTAACAGGCGTACATGATCTTTTTCTTAAAATGGTAATTTATCCTAATAGTTCAATATCAAAACTATATATTCATAATATCAATCATTTATAGACAATAACGATCGTGAAATGCAGCGATTACTGTGTCCAGTAGCGGATTATCAGTGAGGCTGATGAGGCTGCAGCCTCAGGCCCAAAGATTTTGTAAACAAATTTTTTTTAGACTTGTCTGATACGATTAAAAACGCATAGACAATGAATGTTAGGGGGGTTGGGTTTAAGCCCAACGGGAATCAACATAGGCCCTGACCCGAAATTAATTAGGCCCACGCCATTTTAAATAGGCTCTATTTAAAAACTAAATAGGCCCTCCAGCAACTGCCGCCTCGGGCCTTGGTGGAGCTTGATCCGCTACTGACTGTGTCGTGGTCGTCTTTCACGCAACTAGTAATCGGTGTGACAAACTGTTCTCTTTGCTATTTTTCAATTAATTTCGAATGAATACTTCTCTGCATGTAAATGAATTCTCGAAGTCATGTGACTTTTAGACCTATTAGTCTTAAGAAAAATTGGTAGTGTGGCCAAGTATTCGTCAATTGCGGAACAATTGTTCTTACGGTTGGTTGTTCTGTGTTTGTTCGATTAAAAACAAATAGCAGAGAGTTGCTGTTACAACAGAGTTATCAATAAGAGTATGTTTCATTCTGCCTTCAATAAACTAAAATTAAAGGCCCAGAAAAACAACACAAAAATAAAAGGGGGCAATGATCACACTAGTTTGTATTTCGTCATTACCGTTGCTCCGGGATGAAATTAGGAATCATCCGTCATTGGAAGAAAAACGTGCTTCTGGGGACATTGTCTCTATTTTGTCGCTAAAATAAAGCCAGAACAACACGATATATTTAATTGTTATGTAGGCGTGAAAAGCTTAAGCGGAAACATTTAGGCCGGACGATTACTATTATATCGCAATCGTGTTTCAATGAAATCTGTCCATATCTATTTATCCCTTCCCAAATCAATAGAGCTGACTCTATATAGTACTCTTATTCTACTTTTCTATCCCAGCCACTTAACTAGCACTTATTTCATGCCGTAACGTCGATTTAGTATTTAAAACCATTAGCCGTATACCTATTATCTTTACAGTTACTAGATGTCTTCACTATAGCTTTGTCCGGGGGTTTGTATGTTGTTTCATTATTGTTTATTGAGTGGAGAACCGCGCTACATCAACTAATCATTTAACTTGGTCGTTGATCAACAATTGTTATAATGTAGGTCTACCCACTGACACATTAACTTTCAGTGGTTGTCATAAAATGTCACAATTTTGTTTAAGAAGAAAACAACTGTTTGATGTAGTCTAGTCTGACTCTTAATGGTCCACCAGAGAGAGAGAGAGAGAGAGACTTAACGTCCACCCGACACAAACTGGGTCATATCGGGAATAACATGGATCACTTTTATTTCAATATTTCGTATTGGCCTAGGGGTCATTAGCAGTGTGAGTTGGGGGGGGGGGGAAACCCACTGACTTGACAGGCGACTCTACTTCTTGGCACATACAAGAGGGGAATCGAAACCACACCACTTGACTCAATTCGTCCCCTTCCACCCCTTAATGTTTCATCCAGGTTGTGGATACAACAGTGTGTTGTCGGTGGATTATCTACATCCCCACTCACCTACCAAAACAGGCAACATTGAAAGTCGAAATACAAATTCAAACGCGTGTTTCTTTTGGTTTCCGGTATATTTTACAATCATTCTGAACCAAATGCAGACATCAGTTCAGTTGGACTACATTAAAATCTCCCTACATATATAAGTGTGTAAACGTCTTTACTTGAATACCAGAATCAGAGTGAGATATGATTTAAATAGAAATATTTCATAAACTTATAAGTTGAACGTCCCGCATAATAAAGCTCACCAACTGACATTTCTGGGACTAAACCCTTTTCGTTATCCCAATCAGGCGCAGAACAGTTGGGCGTTAAACTCCATTTTATTTCATTTCCTTAGTCTAAAATGCGCCATATTTGCATTTTGTTAATATTAAAGATTTACATGGATAGGACCATGTAGATTATTGATGTGGATTATTATCCGAAAGGTGAACCAAGTAAGCTTCATCCGAAAAGAAAGGGATAAGAATTTGAAATTTAATTGGCTAGCAAGCTGAGAATTATGTGTACGAGTTGAGATTAGTTCTTAGCGATTCTGTTAGTTAATAGTCTGTAAGACCCGGTAAAGATGGAACGGTCACACAATTAGTCCCCTGTTGGTTTAGCCTACTTTTGAAAGAACTAATTACCAAGAAATGGGAATCAATTATTTAACATATATTCAATGTCGTTCAATTAACAATTCAACATAACCCAGCCTCTGGCAAATGCACCTGACAGACCCCAGCTATCAGCGAATATATTATTCAGCAGTAGGATTTGTCCTAAAGATTACAATGAATTGTGTTTGACCTGTTGATATTCTTTGTGTTAAGTCTTTTTTTTTTCTCATTAAAAACAACATTGGCTATTATTAATATATTTCGAAATTCGTTTTACTGTCATTTGCAGTTTGTTGTGTTGTTGAAACATTAAGCCTACGGAACAACGGATTGTTTTGGGTTTTGGTTTTGTTTTTTGCTTTTTGTTTTTTTTTATTTGGGGCTGGGGGGCTTTGTGGATAGCGCATGGCCACGATTAGTCATGTTTCACATAATACATGTTAATCTACATTTTTATACATGACATGGATTCTGATTAAGGTTATAGAGAAACGGGAAATTAGGCTTAAATAATAAACAAACCCAATTAATCGATTTATACGATAATTCAATCAAATGTGATTTAGTCAGTAAGGGATACTTTAAAATTGGGTCATCCGGCATTGCAAAGCTAGCGCTCATCCATTCAACGCCTTACTCATAAAAAATATTGTGAATTACTAAAATAGGTGGATACTAAAATGAACTATGCTTGCGTTAACTCGTATTTTTGAAAAGACTACTTTATTTCAAAATTAAATGGGGTTGTGGATGAGGCATACCCTAAATGACCTCTCTCCTAACTCGCATTCCACATGTATAATGATTTTGGCGCTGCATAAATCCTCACGCTTTCTACTGGAACTGGGGATAGGTAGTGCGTGCTCATTGTGTCATAAGGTCTGTCACTGAGTCAACTGGTTTCGATTCCCCGGTTGTACGTGACAATGCGTAGGGTTGTCTGTCCAACCTCGTGGGTTTTATTCGGGTCCCTCGGTTTCCCCCAACTGCTAAAGACCCCTACGCGCAATCGTATTATTGAAATAAAATTCAACCATATGTTAGTCCCGAAATGGCCTGGTTTGTGTCGAATGGACGTTAAACATGACTCTCTCTCTCACGTGGAACTGAAAGCCCGATATGTTCCGATGCAGTAGTTCCTCAGCCACCCTCCCAATGACACATGGAATTCAATTTCTGTCCGGGAAAAACGTATCCCATAGCACATCGTATGTCCGTCTAGTCTAACATATGGTTCAATTTTATTTCAATAATTCGCTTGCGCGTAGGGGTCTTTAGCAGTGGGAGGAAACTGGAGGACCCGGAGAAAATCCACGGGGTTGGACAGGCGACTCTACTCCTTGTAACGTACAACCAACTACCAGTTGACTCAATGACAGAATTTATGATACAACGCTCACGCGCTAACCACGTGGCCATTCAACCCCCCGGCGCGGAAAAGACTGACGTTAAATCCCATTTGTTTTCCACTTAGACGTGCAAAAACATGAACCTTTTTGATTTTGGTACACACACGATGCCCATCTTCATTAACCCGGTTGATGTAGAACGTGGGACCTTAACTCCCATTTGTTTTCAAATTTATCGTGCAAACGACGTGGGCCTGTGTGATGATTTTGTATGGCAGTTGATATGTTTAGGAATTGGTTGTTATAAAATTTTGTAAGGCAGTTGATGGGAGCAACGACTTAACATCCTATCTTAATTAATCACAACCCATGTAAACTATTGTACCGGATGACCGGAAATGTCATTACTGCCATTATGAGGTTCATTTAGTAAGTATAAAAGCAAATAGTTTCGTGTGACAACAGCTACAGACATGTTTTTTTTTTATTTTACAGTAGATTTTACAGGAATTGATTATTAGGCTCATAAATGGAGATTTAATCAACAACGGATGCATTTTCTTTTCACTATCCGGTTTAACAGTATTTTAATCATATCAGAGAGATTTCCCGGTGGATTTTGTTTTGTATTCAGGGGTTCATTCGGCGTATAATTATAAGCATCTATTGTTGCATGTTGTATTGGAACGACTATTGTTATTATCAGGGATAGAAAAAAATAAATCCCGGATGGTTATATGTATTATCACTCTCGTGGAATTTTAGGTGTAATTGTAAGGTCATCAACATAGTCCTCGTCGAGTATTGTTTGAACAAATTATACAGCGTGATTATGTTTAAAACAACATAGTAAAAATAAATATTTAATATTGAACAGGTCCTGTTTGTTAGTGTTTTGTCTACCGTATCGCTACGAGTAGCAGTGACTGGTCAATTTGGGGGCTCTAGGGGCCTGTCCGCCTAAATAACAGTACAAAAAATTCAAGCACAAATTACCACCGACGCCCCACCTTTTCAAAATTTTCTCGGAGATGGGCCTAAATCACTTTACGGAAGTGGAATAATTCAATGAATTTTCATTTCGTTTGTTTACTACTTTGGGGTTTTCTTGAAATCATATAGATATATCTACTCTGCACTGTGCTTTTATTAATCACATCTTTTTTTTATTCTTTTTTTTTATATTCCGGTAAACATGTCCGATTACGTATGCACATAGATGAATGAGCCATTATGCTTATCTGGATATTCTATAGGGTTGTCTTTATTGTGTATTTTCAGAAATGTTAAATAACAAACGTCAACCTGATTTTGGTTTCCATGCTGTACGGGGCTAAGGTAAGCGAATACATTCTTACTAGTAGGCAGCTTAGCAGGTTGATTTGAACGCTCTGGCGAAAATCATCACTTTTTTTTTCAAATGCCTTAGCCGGCAATTTTTGTTTGATAGGCACACTTCCTCTACATATTGTGGCACATACAACCTACAAATAACATATCAGGTTGTCATTAGTGTCTAGGCATTTCCTTATAGACTACTTGTGAAAAATAAAACACGAATTGCGGTTGTACAGCTTATAGAGAGGGAAATAGCACCAAGTAATGTATGCAGCTATTTAACCTAGATATTAAATCTGGCATCAGGTGTAGAAACCAATATCTAGTGGTTACTCGTATCACTTTTCATTGTCAAGTGACAGAATCGCAAAATCATCTGCTGTTTAGCGTACTCAAGTCTAAAGGATCTCCTAATTGTGCAATAACAATTTCTGAGCTAAACTTCGAAATTCTAAATCATTTGGTAATCATAAATTACTGAGCTTTTCTGTTTGTTTTTCTGTTAGTTTAAACTTATACATTAATGACTTTTTAATACTGCTCAGCACATCGGCGTTGTTACCATAAGTATATTTATCTTAGATACAGTTATTATGTATGAGTATCTTTAATAATACTCATCTTCAATTATTTACTTTCGAATATGTTTACTTATGTAATAATTTTGAAAAGGCCATTTTTCCCTCTTTACCCCAGAACCAGGGGTGGGATGAGGCGGGCCGTGCGAGTGTGTAGGCTCGGTGTAACTAAAGAAGTTCATGTTCTCATATAGTTTAAGGAGCATTTTTGTTAGTTTGGTTGTTCTTTAAGTCTTGAATTTCCGTGTTCATTATGAATTGGTAAGATTGTCGCACGGTAAATTTGTGCAAAGCTAGAAACATTGGGATATACCATAGAAAGCACTATTTACAGTATGTTTTGACAACGAATTTCTAGAGCCCGAGGTGAAAGACCCCAATAGAGCCCCCACCCTCAGACTCAGGGATCTCCTGCTCAGAACATCTATTTGATTTCGCTTGTTGTTTTCTTATTCCATTTGCCAAGATGTATCAAAGAAAATCAAAGGAATCTCGGAAGATAGTATATATGTCAATAGCTAAGTCTTCACAAAGATGAAACGAAAATATTGTAGCCCGAATCTCGAGGTGCCTTGCTGACCACTGGGGGGTATTTTTATATGCCTGCATTTCACAAATTGAGAACTCTTTAATGGTATTACGAGGTCGATATCGTTCAGTGACCAGGAACATTCTGAAGATTACGACTAAGAATAAGAGAGTATTAAATAACACTGTTTCTTACACAGTGTGAGTGCTTCCAAACCTTTTTCCAATACTGCTGCCAAATATAGGTTCTGAACAGGAGGTTTCCATTAAAAATTGAAATGTATTATCACACAGCGGGAATTATAATAACTTCTGAAGAAAATTTAAATAACATGTTTTCTTATTTCCAATTTCAGTGTACTGATGTCTTTGATGAAAATTTGAACGTAAATGGAGTTGAACAGCTTGACCATAATATCAAAAGACCAGTGCTAAGACTTGTGGACACCCAGCCGAGAAAATGATGTGCATATAATCCAACAATTTCTAATGGCATTTTTCTCTTTGTCGTCCATTCACATCATATTTATATACTTTTTCAGGACGTTTTATGTAATCTAATATTGGCCAACATAAAATCGAAGTCGACCATTGTGTTTTCATGGAAATATATGATGTGGGTTTGCCAGAAAAGTTGTTCGGCTTGCTCTGGACGAATTCAATCATTCTGAAACTGAAACAGAATGGAACCTTGGTTACAAATATATATATTTATTTACTTAAAAGGGGCTGTTGAACTTTCACGATCAAGTTAACTTTTTTCATTTGGCCAACAAAGTGTAATATTATTTCATATTTTAAGTCCAATTTGCCCAGGGAATGTTTTGATTTTAAACCACGATTTTACTCAAAATACATTATAATGGAGGTTGTCATATTAAACTGGACTAACTTACATGTGTACATTATATTTCCTTTTCAAAGCGACGATGCGCCATTGGGATTTGTAGCTAAAATATAAAATTGCTCACGACTTAAGCCACGCTAATATCTATTTAGATTGATTATTTAGCTTTTTATTAAGCAAGCAAAATCAAAATTTCATAGCTAGATAATCCCCCGACTGGGAACCAATTCAATCGGATTTGAAACAGGCCTAACATTAAATTTTCGTGGACAACAAAATGGCGACGGGTTCGGGTCTTATTGACTGGGGGGGGGGGGGCATAGATCACTGTAATTTCGTTTCCACATATCTTTGTAAATACTGAACGGAATTGAACCATTTGTGGACTGGTGTTCCCTTCAGAGATTCGTCTGTCATTGTAGTGTTATTCCTATTGCTTAAAATGGCGGAACGGGACTTTAATTGAGACATAATATCTTTTAATATTATTATTATACCAGTTAGACACAATAATAATTTTGCAAGACTAAATATAGCGAAATAAGACAAATAGTTTTCACATGTAAATTGGAATTTGCTTACTTAGCCCCATAATTATTAAACAATTCTGGCTTCGGTGGCAGTCGAAAAGTGCATTTACAATCTACGTGTTTGTGTATGAATTTTAAACGATCTTCAACTTTATGTATATAATATCCATTTTCTATACATTCTTCTATTTTATGGTCATTTATTGACAACGCAGACCTAATCAAGAACCCAAAACGTCGTATCCGCAAAGGGCCTATTGCGGTAACCCGCGAGTTCGTGAAGATATTAAGATTTTATCCGGTTTGAGTATTCTTTTATAGTATAACTTACGAAAAACCATTAGGGTCAATCAGATGAGAAAAAGATAATTCGTAATTATGAGATGACCAAATTTGTTTCATTTGATCGACCCTTATGGGCTTCCACGTAAGCCGTAATTATAAGATAATTAAGTCTAAATTACGAGATAATCAGAAATATTCATAAGACTGACCTTTGTGGCCTTTCGTAATAACTAAAGGTTGAATTAAAGAAACGTTCTCCTTTAAGGTAATTAATAATTATTTTGCTCAATTCACAATTCAAAATACAATAGTTCAGCTGTCTCTTGGGTTTGTGGTGGTTCACTTACTTGATATAGATACATCTTCTCAAGCAAGTATTTTAGGTAGGCCTACTGCCGTTCATCTGCCACTCTCGTAGACATTAATTACGCCACTGTTCCTTGCAGTTTATCTCCGTAAAACATAAATAATCCATTAATAGATATCGGGAGGCACAAAATGAACAAATTTTACTGAATCACCAAATTATGGCCAGTTAGCTGAATTCATTTCTATGATGGTAGTGTGGTGGACCCTGTTTAAGAGTTATCTTCTCTTTCCAGATTTGTAAATAATAGAACTTGTGCTTAAATTGACTTAATTATTCTTATATTGCTAAAGATTATTTTTTCTTTTAAAAAAATAAATTAAAAACGGATGATTTATTTTACATATTATCACATTTTCATTCCATGCTTACATGTTAATGTTATCTTTATGTATTTATTATGTCACGTTTTCAACAAGATAAATAAAGCTATTGAAATCACACAAATAAAAATAATTGATACCATTCATGGCGATATGGAGTTGTCCAGCGGTTGGAATCGGAACAATAACTTCCAGATTCATATTTGGAAAGTGGAGGCCAGGAGGATTTTCAAAGCAGTAATAGCACGCACACCTTATCTAGACTCCAAGTATTGTGGGAGCCACGGTGGCTAAGTGTTCGATCCCCGTTTTGGCCGAGAAAGTTCATCCGGAGTATCCCCTTGTCAGTGGTGCAGGGCGGGGGGAGGGGCTGACAAGAACAGCTGTCTAGTCGTTCGGATGGGACGAAAAACCGAGGTCCTGTGTATACATTGGCGTGCACGTAAAGATCCCTTGATAGTTGGAATTAGATATAAGAGTAGGCCATAGTGTCGCTGCCCGGGCAAAATTTCCCTCATAGCACACTGTATACCCGTCTTCATTAGCCCAGTCGGAGCAGAATAGTAGGGCGTTAAACCCCATTTCATTTTCCAAGGATTGTTGGCTATTTTATCTTCATGTTTCAAACAGGTTTTTTTTTAAAAAAAAATAAACTTAGGGAGGTGCAGGTATATTACAGAGACTAGAGTTTACTGTCCACTTAACACAGAGTAGGTCAGTTCATGACTAGCATATGGTATAGTTCAACAATTCGCTTTTGCGTAAGGCTCTTTAGCAGAGGGACACAACCGAATCACCCATTCAATAGCCGCGGTGTTGTGGCGGTGGATTGGTGTGGTTTCTAATATATTGCCATTTTACACAATTGCTCAAGATTGTACAGTCACACTTCGACAATCTGTTTAACAAAGGTAATACGAAAGCCTTCTTCTAACTCTGTGTAAGATGACTGATCTTTATAAGTTCTACACTAGACACTGTTCCTTGACAGTAGAAGTGGGCGCTGGAAATTCCCGGGAAACTTTCTCGACCAAATCTCGGATTTCCTGGTTAGTAGCCCCCAGCGCCCTACACCCGGAGAGATCATGAAGCAGCTAGCAGGATTTAATTTTGAGGTGTTTCTAAATACATATAGGTGCAAGGATCAACTAACAAGTAACAAACTGGTTATGTTTATGTGGTTAACGAGGTTTTTAAAACATGTTTCCCCAGTGTTGAATTTTAGTACAGCACCAGGAAATCATAATTAATTGTTGTTTTACGGGTATCTTATCCCATCCTACTAATTATTAGGTCTGAATTAAGGCTTCCGTCTGCTAACTTGTTGATTAGTTTACCCGTCAGTATTTGACCTTCTGTTACACGTTTGATTGTATTATCCCTTGATGACGGCAAGAGTACCATCATTGAAACGTTGCAGTTAATAAACCCAGTGAATGCTACCCATAAAGCTGTCTGTTATTATAAATCATTATTAATTGTTTTCAAACATGTTGGAAACCAAAATACACGCTAACTTGTCCAGACCATAATCAACTCTCGATGTCATCGCTAACCTGCGATATTTACTAGATTAGGATTCGATCTGCTGCTCAACTCTCATTCATGATTTCATCAATAAATGGATAATCGAGACTATGTATTTTATTTTACCTACTTTAGTAATAATGATCGAGGCTAGGCCCAAAATTCAATCGCTAAATTCTCGGTTCAGGGTGGATCAATTTGGCTGAAATTTTCAGCAAATTCCCTTTACATTATCTAGTTTTTAACTATTATAGCACTTGAGAACTACCAACTCTTTATCTAATCTCCCATAATGTATCTTTAAATGCAGGGCTTATAACCTTGAGTTAAACAGTTTGATATTATAAACCACCCGGCTATCAGATTACATCTATGAGAGGATATATAGATAATTTAACTTTTTTTCATAGAAAGCACAATGCTGCCCTCTTAAGTACATGTTGTGTTGCTGGGCTGTGACAAGGGCGCGGGGGGTCTTAACGTAAACGATGACTGCTCGGTTGGATTTCGAAGCGGAAACCCCATACTGTTTTTGTCAGTGGCGTGGGATGAACCCTTGCCAGTTGGAATTCGAAAAAAGAGTTGGCCGTAGCGCAGCAAAATTCCACTCATAGCACACAGTCATAACCCGTCGTTGTTAGTCCAGTCGATGCAGAAAACTAAGACGTTAAACCGAGTTTCATTTCCATACCGTCTTTGTAAACTTATTCACTCGCATTGCTGACATAACTATATTAAATGTTCATATCATTCGATTTCTATGTCTCGAAATTTGTATAAAAAGATAAACGTTGGGAATGAAGAACAAACCCTAATAAGGGAACTAACTACGAAATGTGAGCATTGAAATATTATGAAATTAACCACATCCCTCGCCAGCTTAGGCCTATATCTGTTCATCTATACTAATATTTCTGACTGGCGTTTGTTTGTCTGTCTGGTAAGGGTTGGCAGCTACAGCAGGGCTGTTCCTAGGCTGAAATTTGGTGTATATGGGTATCTCGAGGAGTAACATAGGCCTTTTAGCCAATGGCGGTTAGTGCTAATGTATAAGGCCAGCTCAATTTTACGCCATAGATCACAAGATGTAGAAAGGGCTAGAGCTAATCCCTACCCTAACCTTGGACCTAGCCCCATTGCTTACCCTAACCTACAATCACGCGCCCTAACCTTATTTACATCGCAGTTACCTTAACAAATAGATTTAGACAGCATGGTCACTTCCTGTTTTGAAGTTACGCTACGCCCGTTTCATGGCTTTAGTCGTGCTAGTACGCCGGGTCACCCCCTTGTTTCATTTATTTATAGGAAGTTACGCACGTTGTCAGTGTAAAACACCATTGTTTATGTTCAGATTATTATGCTAAATCCCTAACACTATTTAGAAATATCCAACTCTTTCTGTTAATTAGCTCACAATATATTCCTTCTGCAAATTAAATTCCAAAACATTGTTTTGAAGCATCAGATAAATAGATAAATTTGTTTGAAGTATATCTGGATAAGAAATATTTAGGATAAATGGATATATAAAACAGTACGCGAAGGCGTAAAATTAATAAATGGCACCATTCTTCCCTGACCATGTAAACAATGCACACGCTATCGGTGCGATGTTACGTCACATGTAGAATGCATTTGGACTTATAAAGGTCAATCATCTTACACAGAGTTAGGAGAATGCTTTCGCATTACTTTTGTGAAACAGATTGGGTCCATATTATGTACGATGGCGGGATGTGGTCATAACGGCCCTATGCCATAACGGCCAAAAACAGGTTTCGTCAAAACGGCCCTACTTTAGTCATAACGGCCAAAACGATATATTTAAACAAAACATCGATGTGATGCTGAAGAATTTGTCAGCCAACCTGGAAAATTACATGCTGTAAAGTGTAATTGTTATTCAAAGAAAAGAGGTGAGTACTGCTTAATCAACTGATTGGATAATCCCTTATTAGGTACTTCACACCCTCTGATCTGATTAGGTAATATATGAGATAAACATTAATCATTTATTTTTTATCAACTAAAAGTAAAAAAAGGACATCTCCAATCCATTCAGATGCATTAGAAAATTTATAAGTTATTTATGGAGTTGAAAGTTATAATTATAAATTACAACATTTTGTTACAATATTACAAAATTTGTAATGTTACAAAATTCATTTTCTATTCGGTTAAGCTATATTTAGTTATATATTTTAACTTAAGCCTTATTTACAAAGTCATTTTATAGGTAAATGACGATGCAATACCTGATTTTTTACGTGCCGATATAAAAAGTTCAAGGAGAAAGACAATTTATGTTATCAACCACAAGACAGTTGGCTTTGCTTGCTAAATCCGGCCAATGGGTTAGTGATGGGACTTTTATCAACTTGTATCTATACACTGTATATTATGTATTTAGATATGTTATTGAAATAAATTTTATAGTTTGTATGTTTTATACAATGTTGTACATATGTGAAATATTATAGTTTGTCTTATGTTAAATGTCTATGTAAATTTACGTATTAAATTAATGTTTATGTAGCCTAATGTATGTATTTATATGGGGTGTTCTCATCCAGCTCAAAATATTGATTAAGAGGATTAAGGGTTTAGGGCTGGGGGATTATGGTCTGTAGCTGATATGTGTTCACCTAATTAGATATGGATTAATCTTTTCATAAGTGTCATGTGAACTGTGTTTGAACTAGAAGAGAGACTTCAAGCATTGAAAGATCAGTTCCGAAATGGTCAAAGAGACATCATGCTTTATGTAGATGCGGTATCTCATCTTGTCCATTTAGAGTAAAAAGTATGAAATGTTTACTTGCCCATAAGAAATATATATTTTTAATGTTGATGCTCATTTCATAGTGCTATTTAGTTATTTATTTTTTATATTAAGTTTTTCCATTTACATTAAAAGTGTTAAAATAAACATGTTTTACTATAATAAATGTTGAATAAAACATTATCAAGTGATTTTGTTTTACTTTTAGGATTAACCTAATGAAATAAACAGTGCCCAATGTGAAACAGACTACAGCTAACCCTTCTTTAGAAATTCCAATTAACACCTTAGTCACGCTAACATGATTATTTAAGTTTTGAGCTGGGTGAGAATGAACCATTTATATTATGCTATTATGCAATATTTACACGTATGTTAATAAATATTATTTCGTACATGTTATAAATGTTGTTTTTTTTTTGTTGGTTTTTTTTGGCCGTTATGACCAATTTCTTTGGCCGTTATGACCAAATTTTTTGTTTTGGCCGTATGGTTTGGGGCCGTATGTCTATAACCCACGACGGCTAGTTACATATTCTAATGCTACTTTAGGTGTGTGTATCTAAAAATTCATTGGTAAAACTTTGGAGCAAGGACATAGTCATTTGGTGCTCTGTCTTCGGTGAAGAAAAAAGTGTTTAGCACAACGAAGATTTGGGAAAATGTGACAAAAATTGGTGGTGGTCTGCATCCGTCTCTATTTTTCAGAGTTATTCCCCTTCGTGTATCCGGGACGTGATTCACTCATCGCTGCGAAAGATCACGTGACTTGTCGATC